ACTGAGGCAGACAAGAAGAACTTCACGGACATGCTTCGGTGGTATATCACTTTTCGTCATACTCTACTGGCCATTATACCGAAGGTGTTAAGACTGTCAAGAAGTCTTCTATAGCTCAACCGAATTGAGCTCTCGGCTCCATTGACGCAAAGGGGGAGATTGTTGGGTATTTTATGTTGCGTCATGGGCTTAGTTTGTATATTCGGATTGGGCCTGTCCATCCGTGATTATTAAGTAGGGTTAAGCTATAAATAGTGCATGCATGTATGCCTTAGATACGGTCGTGATTATTATTATTATTGCATTGTAACCCTAAACACCTCTACAGTCGAAGTTCTTAATCGAGCTCTTCTAAGGTGTTGAAGCTTAATCATTCGACATCAGTTAAACCATTCTTGTGTTCTTCATTAAGTCATTTATTGTTATTCTGCTTAGAATCTATCGATCCTACTAGAACTTTGTTCTAACAGTATTAGCGGTAAAAAGCTATCTATACCGTTATCACATATCAATCAGCTATAAAAGCTACTCTACTACGTATCACATATCAAATAGCTATAAAAGCTCTCTCTACCATTAGCACATATCAATTAGCTATAAAAGCTACTTCTGCCACATATCACATATCAAATAACTATAAAAGCTATCTCTACCATTGGCACATATCAATTAGCTATAAAAGCTATCTCTACCGTTAGCCACAAAGGCTATCTCTACCATTAGCCATAAAGGTTGTCTCTACCATTAGCCACAAGGCTATCTCTACCATCAACCATAAAGGATGTCTCTACCATTACCCACAAAGGCTATCTCTACCGCATATCACGCATATATGCATATCACACACCTCTATATAGCAAGTATACCAACTATCATAAAATGGGTCGGCCTTGGTGCCTTAGACCCATTGGTATGGTGAGAAGACTCACCTGGCATTGCTGAAGTCCTGCTGTAACACCCGTTTATTTAATAAATAAATAAATGAGATAATGAATGTTTAGTAGCCCTAAAATCAATGATTATATTGCAAGGTGTTGGTTTCAAGGAGCTAGATGTCACAATTTTAAAGATTGGGGGTTAAAAGTGTTAACATGGCTGAAGTTTGAACATTGGACTTAAATTGAGAAGCATTTAGAATGCTGAGGGCTAAAGAGTAAAATTCGGACTTAATTTGGAAGTAATATTGAAGACAGGGGCAACTTGGTAACAATTAGGACTCAATATGAAAGGGAATTATGGAATCAGGGATAAAAGGATAAATATTGGATTTAATTTGAAAAGATCCCATGGGGAGGGACCAAAATTGTAATTATGGAAAAGTTATGTAATGGACCGGGTATATATGCTTTGCGTAATCCTAACCCTAACTTGTTGCTTCAGCCGCCGGGTATCACCCTTTCAGCCGCCACCGCCCGTTTCTGTTCACCCATGGCTGCCAAACGACCGTCGATTCCCACCAACGTCGCTGCTACCAATGGAAGCTGTTGACTATCCAGTTCCGCCGTGACTTCCGTCGTCGGCATGGGCCACGATCTACCAGCCGCATGTCGCTGCACTTGCTGCCGCGCGGAGACGCGTCTTTCACCGGACGCCGCGACCTGCTTGTCGGAGAATTGAGCTGGGGAGGAGACGCTGTCTTAGTCGAAGTACGCTGCCACCACTCTTCTTAGTCTCTTCCTCCGCTAGACACCGCTTGATGCTGAACCGCCACTGAAGCACCGTCACTGTTGCCGCCTGTGTTGCTGCTGCCGTCGCCGCCCACCTCAGGTGGGTGTTGGGTTCTCTTTCCGAGCAAGGGTTGTGGGTTTGTGTGTGCTGCCATCTCAGATTCGCTGTTGCCGTCGCCGGGAGCCACCAGGTGGGTGGCTGGTGTGTGAACTACTCTTCAAAATGTGTGATGCGTGTGTTTGTCAAGCCGGAAAGCCGAGGACCGCCACTGCCACCACGTGCCACCGCCGGCCACCACAAGGGTGGTTGCGGGTGTGTGTTTACTTAGTATAGTGTGTGTGTTTATTTAGTGAGTTCATTGTAAATTGTAAAAATTGGAATAATGAAAGGAAAATCAAACCACCACCGTAGGGTGGTGGCTGCCGCCTCCTGTCGCCACCGGCCGCCGTGTCGGGTGGCGGTGTGCTTTCCTTGTTGAGTTTGAATCGCTTGGGGTGCTTGAAACCCTAATGGGCGCAGTGAAACCCTAATGGGCCCAATGAAGCCCTATTGGACCTAAAAGCCCAAACATGAGACTGATGGGCCTAGTAAAAACCCTAATAGGTCTAATGGACCCTAATTGACCTAAGGAAAACCCTAATGGGCTTAAGGACCTAGCTATTGGGCCTATTTGGCTGATATGGGTTGGAAACCCTAATTAGGGTTTGGAAAACCCTAATGCAATGAAACCCTAATTTGGGGAATTAATCGGGATACACGGGAATTATTTGATAACTTGAAATATTAAATAATAATCATTGGCAAAAAATTAATCTAAGCAATATTGGACTTAATGGATTAAGTCCTTAATGGGCTAAGTACGAACACTTAACCCTAATCATCATTTCATGTAAGAACCCCTAATTTTAATTGGGCCTTGAGTTGGGCCTTTCTATTGGTCTTTGGTAATTGGGTTATTAATGGGCTTTAGGGTAAGGCCCATATGAGGGTGTGGGCCCAATTTGGAAAATTGGGCCGTAGATGGACCATAGTTTGGGCCCTGATGATTATATGATATTGAGCCATTGGAAATGCCAAATGTTTGGACTGGACTAAGTAGTTGGGCCTTTAATTATGACCATGTAAAGGTTTGGGCCCAATTTGGAAAATTGGGCCATATGTTGGGCTTTGGCCCATACTTGACTTTTGGGCCTTTGGAGTGTGAGTTGGACCTTGGGCTTGGAACCCAATTATTAATTGGGTGTTGTTTGATGTTGGCAGTTCGGGAATCTGTCAAGCAGCAGTTGGAGTTTCATCTGCGGGACTTCAGCAGTGCCAGGTGAGTCTCCTCACCATACCAATGGGTCTAAGGCACCAAAGCCGACCCATTTTATGATATATAGTACACTAGTTGAAGTTGTATTATGTGGCATGTTAGCTGGTTACGTGGTAGGAAGTATGTTAGTAGTATATGTGTTATGCTTGTATGGAAGACCATGGGAGAGCCCATGGCACCTGGATGTAAGACCATGAGGAGAGCCCATGGCTTTCCTACTATGTTGTAGTGTTTATTGTAGATTCACTACTGATATGTTTGGTATGCATGTATATGTGGTATGCTAATTGTCTTGTGATATTTGCATGGAAGACCATGGGAGAGCCCATGACACCTGTATGTAAGACCATGTGGAGAGACCATGGCTTTCCTATCAAAGACCATAGGAGAGCCCATGACACTTAGGTGTAAGACCATGTGGGGAGCCCATGACATCCTGGAGTAAGACCCTGGGGACGAGCCCACGACATCCGTATATGTTGATATGCATGGCTATGTGATTGATATGGATATGTGATTTATATGGTTTATGTAGCTTTTATAGCTAATATGGATTATGTGATTATGTGGACTGTGTGGGGTATGCTCTGGGGAACTCACTAAGCTTCGTGCTTACTGTTTACAATTTTGGTTTCAGGTATTACGTTTCGAAGGAAAGGAGCCGGCTCGTTCGCAGTGCATCACACTATGATTTTCCGCACATGAGATCTTTGGGATTACACTCTGATATTGTTTTATGATAACATGTTTTGATTATTTTTACCTTGCTTTTGACATGACATGATATTATGGATGTTTTATTATACTATTGGTTTTATAATAACCTATTTAAAAATGAAATTTTTACCCTTGATTTTTGGGTCGTTACACCTACGAATAAAACTCCAGCTGCTGGTTGACAGATTCCCGAACTGTCAACATCAAACAATACCCAATTAATAATTGGATACCAAGCCCAAGGTCCAAATCACACTCTAAAGGCCCAAAAGCCAAGTAATGGGCCAAAGCCCAACATATGGACCAACTTTCCAAATTGGGCCCAAACCTCTATATAGGCTTATCATAAGGCCCAACCACTTATTCCAGTCCAAATGATTGGCATTCTGATGATCCAATAGCTAATAGTCCTCAAGGCCCAATTATGGCCCACTTATGGCCCAATTTTCCAAATTGGGCCCAAGCCTCTCTAATGGGTCCTATTCTATGGCCCAATGATTTCCTTAGTCCATAACATGTTCCCCAACTGGCCCATTAAGGCTCACAGCAGCTTAGTCCAATAAGTCGCCTAACAAGCATCCAAACCCAATTAGGGTTTTTCACATAAAATATCGATTAGGGTTAAGTGTTACTACTTAGCCCATTAAGAACTTAATCCATCAAGTCCACTATTGCCTTTAGGTTAATTCCAAATGGTTTTTAATTAATATTTTTATTTAATAAACATTCCTAGTGCGGGTCCCGATTGATCCAAAGCCCAGAAATCTAAAATTAGGGTTTTCTATACCCTAATTAGGGTTTCCAACCCCTTCGAAGCCCAATAGGACCAAAACCAAATCCTTAAGCCCATTAGAGTTTCCTTAGGCCCATTAGGGTTTCAGCATCCAAACGAATCAACACAAAAATGCAACACATCGCCACCCAACACGGCGGCCGGTGGCGGCAGGAGGCGGTAGCCACCACCTCACGGTGGTGGTTAGGGTTTCTTTTTCATTATTTCATTTCTAATACAATTTACAATAATATCCAAGTAACACACCCACACTCATAAACTAACGCACACACACGCACACCGCACTGTGGCGGCAGGCGGTGGTCGGAGGTGGCAGAACCGAAATAGAGGCAGTAACCACCATGGTGGGCAACCATGATGGTCTTCTCGGGGTTTCTTAGCCAGCCGTAAACACACATATGAAACTCGACTAACAACAGCAACCAACACACACATACACGCTTGACTACAAACGAGCTCAGCCACCCCTCCTGGTGGCAAACAACAGCTCGGCAACAACAGCGGCGCCTACAGTCGGCGTTGTCGACGGCGACAGAGCTTTAGCCGTGAATGGAAGCGAACCCGACGAACAGAAGAAGGGGAAGAAAGAAACGTGGTTGGAGTAGCACCGGTGACGGCGTCGCACACCCGTAGATGACGACAGAGGCAGAGGTGGAAGGTGGTGGCGACATAACCGATCAGAGAACTGCAGCGGCAGTTCACAGCAGCAACAACCGATTGCCCTGCTATCTTTCCGACGTAGAAGAGTTGGCTTCGGCGACTGAGGAAGCAACGACCGATGATGGGGTCGTGAGGTGTGCAGCCGTAAACGGGAGGGATAAGGTGGGGGGGGGGGGGGGGTTGGCGGCTGAACATGTTAACGTCAGGGTTAGGGTTTCAGGGGTTATATACCCGCCTCCATGAAATTGATTGCCATAATGACACTTATGGCCCCTCCCTTCAAAATTATTTTCGAAATAAGCCCCATATTTACCCTTTAAACCCCATCTTTTGAAATCCCTTACAAATAAAGTCCGAAATTTACCTTTTTAACCCAGCCTCCTGAAATCTTTTACAAATTAAGTCTAATACTTACCAAATAGCCCCTTAGCCTCCAAAATCTTTTCAAAATAAATCCCAAAATTACTTTTTAACCCCCGAATGCTCCGATTTATAACCTTTGGCTTCCCAAAACCGATAATCCCCTAAATAATATGAATTTATTGCGACTATTCGTTCATCAAATTTTATCTATTTATTTATTAATTAAACAGGATGTTACAACTCTCCCCCACTTAAATTAGATTTCGTCCTCGAAATTATCCCTTACCATCCCTTGCACGCCCAACAACTTAGGCAACATGGTCACAATCCTGGGTACACTGTAGCCCTCCCAGGGTAACCGTGACCATCCTTTTCAAGGCAACCATAACCCACTCTAGCAGGGTTCGAAAACCTGAAGATAAACGAATTCCCTACAACAAGATCACATCTAATCCGTCCGAATTTCGCAGTCTCGAGAGGGTCTGTCTCCCTGACAGACTGCCAGCACTGAAGCATTGTCGAATTCATTACACGTATCTCCCAACCGGCCACGCAACTTCTGATAACCTGAGGTTCCCACTAGAAGATAGAGTTACAGACCAAAATTTCCCTGCCGTACACTTATATCTGACCGAAGCCCAGATAATCCCGCTGTGAGTGACTTGTCACTTCCAGTCAACCAGTTATTACGTTCGTCTATCATCCAAAATACTAGGTTCCAACCCGATTACGGAGCCAAAAGACTCACATGCAGTCTCTCCATGCGACTTCTGAACGAAATCCTCCTCTGGAACTAGTTGCCACTAATTATCATGCCACTGCGGCTCTAACAACCTCCCAATCCAACCGATCGAGTCCGTGCATCGAATCCTGACGTTACCAACTCCTAGGCCAAAAGTGATTGCTACCCGACCAATGGTAGCCTAATGTCCCAAATGACCTTACGCAGTTCATTGCTTCCCCGATCTCATAACTGTAGGGGCGTTCACTGGCTTGATCAAGTCTAATCCGTCTGTGTAATTCCGAAATCCAATCTGTGGATTCCCATATTCTCACTGCTGCACCCGAACTGATGGGTACTACTGTCCCTTCCGTGGTCTAATAACGCTCTCATGCTATCTACCAACCTAGTGAATGCTACGGCTACACCCATAGTCTTACAACACGCTAGCACTATCTGCCAACCTTGTGTATGCTACGGCTCCCCCGTAGTCTTACAACACTTTCCACACTACCCGACTACTAGTGAATGCTACGGATCCCCCGTAGTCTTACAACACTTTCACCCTGCTGACCATGAGTGAATGCTACGGCTCCCTGTAGTCTTACAACACTTCCATGCCAACTGACCATTAGTGAATGCTACGGCTCCCCCGTAGTCTTACATCACTTCCATACCAACTGACCATTAGTGAATGCTACGGCTCCCCCGTTGTCTTACAACACCCTCATCCTAACACAACCGTAGCCAAATACCTTACCCCTAATTTATTGATTTAAAATGCATACAGAGTCAAGCACGCACTCGACCAATCACCCGAATTGAACTCGATTCATGACTGGAGTCCCAACCTGCTTCCCCAAATTCTGCTATCAAACCCCCAAGAAGACGCGATTCACACGCTGGGGAGTTTTACCGAACTCCAAACTCGCATAACCCTCAACCCAAATGGCCACTTGGGCCGCCTTTTTCCTCGAGAAGTCCATCCCGGTCTCACACCTGTCCCTGTCTGAATACTTGCATGATTCTCCCCCACTTAGATTCGAATAAGTCTTCGCAATACAGGAGATTTGAAGGATTCCCGATCCTTCTTATTTTTTTATAACCAACTATTGACAACCTGCTTCTTGTCCATGCGAGTGTTCAATTACGGCCCAAACCCCCACTGACCACAAAAACCCTGAAGATCAGGAAAACACCGCCCGAATCCTAGCAAAACTAATAATCCCCGACGCCTTGAAATGATGCCCCACTTATATCTTGAAGTCTAAATACCCGATGCCCAAACCAAAGTCTCAAAAATAAACCACTTCTCCTGGCGCTTCTCAAAAGCCGACTCGAGCACAATGGTTGAGTCACCAATCCTGTTCGTAGGCCTTCCGCATCATTCCCTGAACCGATCTCAATCCTAGACCCAGATAACATCGAACGCTCCAGATCAGCTAGGAGAGAAACAACCTTTCACGAATCACTCCGTATTTCACAGTATGCAAATGGCATATGACGAATGCTTGAATGTATGATCCAAACACAAGCTGGGCAACAAACCCAAAGATACACTTACTAAAACCCTCGAAACGAAAACTCCCTCGTGCAGTTTCCCACAAGGACTGCACTAAATTCTGCCCTGCTGGCCTCTCAAAGCTGGCCCGAACTCTTGGGTCCCTTCCTGGGACCCTCCGATGCATGTACCTGATCTGGCCCCCTCTGTTCAGTGTGCTCCAAATCAATCCCTGTTCTCGAGCTCTAGAGATCTTATCATTCAGGGTCCCACACCCTGACCCACTCACCAGCTCAATCGTCAACTGTTGAACCGTAGTAGTTGGAACAACCTCTGTTCTACACCGGGCTACTAACTATCCCCAAGACATAGTCTCCCATCCCAAAAGTGCAATAGAATGCAAAATCAATCCTTGTCGCCTGATACAAGAGATCCAAGACGAATTCAAAATCCTGGTAGTCCTCCCGTTATCTGGCTCACCACCGGAGCAGGGACCAAACCCTAGTCCTCCCTCATGTGTGCTCATCCTCATCTGGCAAAGCAGCTATCACCACTATCAAACATAACCAATAATTCCCCTTCCTATCAGCTTCTTAGATTCTCCAAGACTCTCACTAATTCGAGTATGGATCCTGTGCTTTCAGTGGTACGGGCCCATACTACCTTCCACACTTATCCATACTTTCCTCAGTAATCCTCCTGAATCCTCTAAGTCACCTATCCTACTGATGCACCAAACATCTGCCAAACAACAACACAATATCCACTGAAGCGCCTACTAGGCTCCCCCTAGGCTCCCAACCTCACTGAACCGCCCCACTAACTCACTGGAGCATATCCTAGGCTTTCCTAGGTTCCCAACCTCTCTTTGCCATCAGCTGCTGAGGAACTCCCCATGATGCCAGCCATCCACCTTCTGGATATCGTCATATCCACTTAGTAGCTTACTCCCATCACTCAAGAGTTCCACAAAGCACAAAGCAAGCAACATTCGTGCAGTAGCACTCCGATCCAAAGAACTGCCATAGAACATTCCGCCCACATATCACAACTCGCGTTATCCACATCCATCCATCCTCACTGTCGGATGCCTTATGCATGCAAATTATACACAGAACAGGATCTAATAGACTGTCGAATATTAGACTCTACCCTAGGACCACAACCAAACAAGGAACAGGAAATAAGGCCAAATCTATTATTCTAAGGCTATAAAATCCTAACCATGTACAATTTTAGAAGCATACACGTAGAAATTACTAATACCAATAATCATTCTCATTCTAGCATGGCATCAAATATTCCCAAGGCTACAAGCATCACATATCAGGCCAATCTATTGCTGACTACTCAGCACTAGCATGCAAGTCTACCAGCTCATGCAACATATAAAGACATCTCCCCTAGCCCTAACTAGCATGCGATTCTCAGATTCATTAATCAATTCATAACAGGTAACATATATGGGTATTCTGGGGAAACTTACTTGAGCTCGGCTGATTGCACGCATCATACACCTTGTTCCTTCCAAAGTCTTTTTCTCTTTTCAAATTCTTTCCAAACTTCTTTGTATAAAATGGTTTTACTTTTGAAAATTTTCATACCAAGTCCTCAGTTTGAGTCCAGACACACTCGAGAGTGTGCCCGAATCCCTCAAATCAAGGCTCTGATACCAACTTGTTGATGGTTTTTGAGCATTCTAACACTTCCTAAGTGTACATGCAACCCTAATAACCTTGAATCTATGTTTTCTCTATATACATGCAAAATTTCTTTTTCAAGGTTATTTCCCTAACTAGCATGGCATGGGGATTACATAAAACATAAAACTAGTAGAAATACATACCTTGTTGTTGCTTGGATTCCTTCAAGACTTTGTGAGCCTAGCACCCCAAATGTTGTGCCTCAAATGCTTCACACAACACCACAAGACTTGGAATAACTTGAGAGAATACTTCTAGCACTCAAAATCGGTTATGCCCTCTCTAGTAACACTATGTCCACTAGGTCTTGATTTTGCTAGCCATAGGGTTTCTTTTATAGTGTTGTCACAATTAGGGTTTACACATGAATGCCCTTAATTGTCATGACTCTTGATTTCCCATGACCCATGGGTTTGTAACTCCCATGGACTATCCATGGAGCTCCATATGGTTATAACCAAACCCATAAACCATGGATCATTAATCCACCATAAAAGAATTGATGATTGTCATAATCAACCCTATATATTTAATTAGTCTCACTTTGATCACCAAATTAATACTAGATTAATACTTGATCAATACTAATTAAATAATACTATTATTAATATATTAGAACTTATAATATATTAATAATCATAAGTGCCTTATTCTCTCATTTAGTCTATCCAAGTATTGCAATGCCATGCAACCCAAATGGACCATGCCGGGTCGGGTCAAGTACATACCAAATAAAGTTATGGACTTAGACACTATATCCAACAGTCTCCCACTTGGATAAGTCTAATAACTATATTTGCAAATATGGCTTCAAAATCCGACTAGCAATCGTAGCTCTTTCAAAGTCTCTCGGAACTGAGATGATGATGATACGCCATTTAAGATAAGTGATCATATAATCCTCTGT